TTATTCATTTTTAAGTATTTCTGGTCTAAATTCATAACTATGAACTTAACTACTAAGTATGGCTTAAAATAAATTTTCCCGTTAATCGGGTATGTAGCTGCTGGCATATACAATTTTTCACGCACACTAGCATCCTTGAGACTGTCTTATACACACTACAATATTGAAATGCCGCATTCACAGAGCTGTCATTTTCAAGGAGTGCGGTATCTAGTCAGAGCGCGCGATGATCTATTATTAATCTAAAATTAATATATTATTTTTTAAATACTATGCACTGTGTGTGATCAGAAGCTAAATTAAATTAAGCGTTGCGCAAACAAAATCCACAATAACATCACATCACTGTCTGTAGGTTTCCTACAATAGAAGAAGAAAAACTTTTGACAATATTGTGGTAAGTCTTTAAGCATTTTGAATTTTTTGATCGTTATTTGTAGGGATTATTACTATATTGTCTAGAATTTTATCTATTTCAGATCATTTATTTGGGCTGACTTAAGTTTTAGCCATGAGAATTTGGGTGCTTTATATTCACGTTAATGTTCTGCGAAAAATAATTCTCAAGATAACATATGTTATAAATCAATATAACGTGTGGAAATATAATCTGCAAAAACAATAAAAACATCATTAACAATATATAGTGCATAAAACAATATCTTTCAAAAAATAAAATTACATAATTTTACCTATATTTACTTTTATTTTATCACTATATACTATATACTCTATATACTCCTCTAGAGTAAATTCGAGTAATTTTGGTGCAATCTCTCAAATGTATAGAAATCCATCGAATAGGTTTGTGAAGCTCGAGCCAAAATAACTCTAATTTGCCTTAAATAAACAAAAAGTTTAAAAGCTACAGAACACAAAGTTTGATATTCTCGCTAAAAAGTTTTATATGGGTGCCCACCGTGGCGTTTTTTTTTGAACACTCATAAATCCTTACCTATTCGATAAAATCCTTTTTTAAGTATGAAGATGGCGTTCTTCTCTCGGTAGAGAGTAATTTTGTTCTGTGACTTAGAGTAATTACATAACTTATAGGGATAATAAAGAGAACCTACAATTCTATATAAAATGGGGCAATATGCTTGTCTCGCTTTTTGTTATTTAATTTTCAAATATGCAAAAAAGAGAAAAATCTATTGAAAGTCGTTGTGTATAATCCATGTGTGGAAATAGAAATATCAAGTAGTCATCTTTGGTTTCTTTATAATATGCTTATTATGAAAGTACACGGTATCTTCTAAATTACTAGTAAAATGACATCCCTATTATATATTATATACCAATATTATATTATGTAACGTTACTTTACAAACCATGAAGTGATGACGTATTTAATCTATAGGGATTACGTTCACAATGTTTGCAACAATCGACATCGATGTACTCGTTTTTCTTTAATTTGTTTATTGTTATTGCATATTGATATATGTCTAAAATATAAATAAAATAGGACTTTACTTATTACCATGAGCCGCGATCGGTGTGATCTGTGGTTTTTCGGTTTTTCGAACGAATACTAAAGGGCGCGTTCTCGGAGCACCAGTGTGGCCGGTTGGTGTTGAAACGCGCGCCAACAGTATTCGCACACGTATTGTTATCTCATTTCAGTCATTAATTCTACACCAGCTTTCTGTCTGTACAACTCTGTACATATTTTGATAATAAGTGGTTGCTGTGACCCATAAACATCTTAATCTATCCTCAATAAAGAATCAAAATGCATTTGTGTTGTCACCCATGAGGACTAAGATGAAAAGCCTCCTTTCCAGTAGAAATGGTCTGCGGTTCTCTACACACACCATACGAACCACAGCAGTGTTAAGATACTATTTTACGTTGGTATTCTGTGAGAATGTGGTCCATCCCCAGTCGAGCCGACTCATTCGTGCTACAATTATACTACTAATATAGCTGCAGCATGGCTCTACCACGTATTAATATTGTCAAACTCCATTCTCTTCGCGTGTTCTCAGCAGATTGACGCTATTTTTGCGCGCACGCCGGGAACAGATGCGAGTAGGTACATGTTCGGTTCATGCGCGCACTGCGTTTACACTGATGAAATGCTCCTTTTATGTTACATTGCATGTTACGTTACGTAAGTCAGTACGCAGCATAATATTTAGGGAGGTATGAGGATGTAAAAACTATACAATAGTTAGGTAGGTATGAATACTAAGTCTTGACAGAGACACTGTACATAAGCGAGTTGGATCGTATTTGTAATCCCAATTTTATATGCTGACTAACGATCCGCTTTGGCTTCGCATGACTGTTTTCTACTCGTAGACCTCGACAACAGCGCTGCTTACCGGGTCCAATTATGAGTATGAGTGTTCATCAAAATCAGTCCAGCCACTCTCAAGTGATTATCTTTCATACAGGCAGCAATTGATTTTAATTTACATAGACTTAGCACTTGCTTAGCGGAAAACTATCGACTATATTCAACAAAGCTTTATCTGCTTGGATGAAAATACTACCTAATCATGAAGTTAAGGCAGGAACTTGATAATGCCGTGTGGCGACGGCGTAAAAGAAACCACTAGCTCATACCAAGTAATATATATTATTACTTAGAAGCTCTAATATTCCATACCATCCCGTAAGTATCGTAAAAGATGACATATGGAAATTAAACAGGAGATAGGTAACATAATATTTTTGCTAACAACTCAAAATAATAAAAATTCCGGTTGCCAAACCACTGGCTTAGAGAGCAAACTATTTGCAAATATTATCCCTACGTTCAACAGTGGACATTCGATAGGCTGTTATTAATGAATTAATGATGGATATTATCTTGAAGGAGCAGACAGAAAAATGGGTAACACGATCGTAATCGATTTATTACTATTCGTGATATAGCGACAAAAGTAAAGGCAAACCGTGGTCATGCCGTTGTTATTATAGTATTGTTAGAAGAGAAGGTCTGACGACGCCGCGCCGGGCTATATAGGAGGGCGGCTGGCGTCACTCGCCCCTTTTTGCCGACGGTCATCACGGAGTGCGGAAGCTTTGCTCGAATACTAGCGTCATTATTTTGAACCTTGTTTTAAGCTTTTAAGTTAGTTAATATTTGTTAGGCCAAAGGCCATTAAAATATTTTAAATAAAGTCAATTCGTGTTTCTATTTGTAACATCAGAAGTGGGATCAGAAGGCTGAAAAGCCGCTGTACGCCTATATTTCTGGTTTTATAAAGGAAAACTTAGTTTCCTTTCAGTTGTTTATTTAATATTCGGGCACAGTTTTTGTCTGTGAGATGCCTAGCAACGATAAACGCAACAAACAAAAACGCCGTGGGCAAACTCCTTCGCCCAATCCGATGGAAGAGATCCTGAGGAGGCTACGCGTGCTGGAGGAGCAGCCCCGTGCGTCAGTGGAGACGCAAGCCATTGCAACGACCAGCTCGGGCCCTAGGTGCGCCCTCGAGCTGCCAAACACGACACCATCGGCATCGGCATCGGCATCGGTGTTCGGGATGCCTACACCGCCGCGTGCGCCTGTGCCCTCGCGAGTGGGGACGCCGCCGCTGACTCCGCACACTGGCAACGTGGGATCAACGCAGTCTGAAGACGTGGTGATGAACGCCGTAGAGCGTCTTTTGACCGCTATCGGCAGTACTCAGGTCAGATCTAACCGATATTTTGTCTCTGATTTTGATCCGAATATTCATGACTTCGACACGTGGTGTGATGAGGTAGAAATAGCCCGTATTTCGAACCATGGGGACGACAGAGAATGTCTTGCTCGTGTCGGACATTGTTTTAAAGGAGAATCTCGCACCTGGCTTAGCCAATGGACAAGCAGTATTCGCACGTGGTCCAATTTCAAATCAGAACTAAAAGCGCTATGCCCACGTTCTGTCGATGTCGCGAACATGCTTTATGATGTAATGAGGACAGGGTCAGATAAATACTCCACATATGCTGAGTATGCTCGTAAATCACTTTTAAGGTTACGCATAGTTAAAGGTCTCAGTAGCGAGCTGCTTACGGCTATTATCATTCGTGGAATTGCAGATCCACAAATTCGTGCTATGGCTGCTAACGCCAAATTATCACCTGACTCTATAGTGGAGTTTTTATCGAGCTTTGTTAAACCTTCTAACAGCCATATTAGGAAAGTGTATTCTAATGGTCTCAATCGATTTGACCGACCCTCTAATAATAGTAACTCGAACCGCAAACCGATAAAACGTCGATATGATTCCGAAGACTTAAAATCAATAAGGTGTTACGAATGTAATCAATTTGGTCATAGGAGTTTTAATTGTAACAAACGGTCGAATACACTCTCGAGTTATAGTAACGAAAAAACAATTGCGTTACCGACGATATCTCGTAGCGATCCGTTAAAGTGTGGGTTTTGCAAAAAGGTAGGTCATTCCGAGGTAACTTGTTTTGCTAAGGAACGCGCAAATTCTCGGAATAATAATGGTGTCAATTTTTGTCGCGAAATCACGGACAGTTATAAAAATCGCGACGTCACGACTGCGGTCATATCGGGAATACCATTAGACGTACTAATCGATAGTGGTTCATGTGTTTCCTTAATGTCAAAAAATGTTGTTAAGCATTTTCCGTGTCAAGTAAAGCCTACGAATCAGTTGCTACGCGGCTTGGGTGGTATGGAAATAAGGTCGGAATCATTTGTAACATTACCCGTCGAGTTTAGCGATATAACGGTAGAAATTGATTTTTATGTGGTGGGTGGGAATAATTTGAGTGTGCCAGTCATTATCGGTACAGACGTACTAAACAGGAAAGGTATTACATATGTTAGGACCGGTGATAGCCAACGTATAATTCATAGTGAGGCGACTGTAAACGATATTCTGCAAGTAAATTTGATTTCTTTGTCCGATCAAGTTAATACGTCGGTATTTGGAAATAATAGAGAACGATTACTAGAGATCCTCACCAAGTATTCCGATTTCTTTTTAAGTGGTACCGCGACCACAACGGTGAAAGATAGTGAGATGCATATCAAATTAACAACCGATGTGCCCGTGTACTATAGACCCTACAAATTATCGCATGGCGAAAAATTAAAAGTACGCACTATAGCGAAGGATCTGCTCGATAAAGGAATTATTCGCGAGTCCGATTCAGAATACGCTAGTCCGATCTTGCTCGTAAAAAAGAAGGATGGTTCTGATAGAATGGTCGTTGACTATCGTGCATTGAATCGAATAACCGTTAAAACTAGATATCCTCTCCCCTTGATCAACGACTATATAGACAGGCTAGGCAATGGTCGCTGGTTTAGCTCTCTGGATATGGTTTCCGGTTTCCATCAACTTAGAGTTGCAGAAGAGTCGATTCATAAGACCGCATTCGTTACACCAGAGGCGCAGTATGAATATTGCAAGGTACCCTACGGTTTGGCGAACGCGCCTATATTTTATCAGAAGACTATCTCTAAAACGCTTAAATCTTTTATCGATGCCGGAAAAGTCATGGTCTACATAGATGACGTATTAATAATGACGGTCGGGATTGACGAACACCTCGTTTTATTAGATTCGGTTATGAAAACGCTAACTGAAACAGGTTTTTCAATTAATTTAAAGAAATGTACTTTTGTTACTAACGAAATAGAATACTTGGGTAGGATTATAAGAGATGGTCAGGTTAGACCGAGCAATTATAAAATTGATGCGTTAGTTAAATCACCACGACCGAGTAATATCAAACAGGTTCGCCAATTTCTTGGCCTCGCAGGATACTTCCGAAGATACATTCCTAATTACGCACTAAAGACTGCGCAAATCGCCGCTTTAACTAGAAAAGGAGTAATCTTTAATTGGAGCGATGAACACGAAATTGCACGTCAAAATATCATTTCTTATTTAACTAATGAACCAATTTTGGCAATATTCGACCCCGAATTGACAACTGAGTTGCATACGGATGCCAGTTCTATTGGTTACGGTGGAATCCTCATGCAAGTACACAAGGACGACCGCAGGCGGGTAGTTGCTTATTTTAGCAAGTTGACTGCTAGTGCGGAATCCAAGTATCACAGCTATGAGCTGGAGACCCTCGCGGTAGTGAAATCGTTACAACATTTTAGGCAATATTTAATTGGCAAATCATTTAAGATAGTCACAGACTGTAATGCATTAAAAATGACACAACGTAAGAAGAATCTCCAACCCAGAGTTGCAAGATGGTGGATATACATGCAGGACTTCGACTTCTCATTAGAATACCGTAAAGGCACGCTTATGTCGCACGTAGACTACTTAAGTAGGAACCCGGTTAATATGATTAGCATTGTTCAAAAACCACGAAATTGGGCCCAAGTGGCACAGGCAGGTGACGAGGAGACATTAACGTTACTTGAAAAATTAAATAACGGTAAATTAGACAACACGCGTTACGTGAAACGTAATGAACTCTTGTACTATAAGTATGACGTCACGGGTGAGCAAGCGCGATTCTTATGCTATGTACCAAAGGCGTTTCGGTTAAGTTTACTACGCGTTTTCCACGACGAGCATGAACACATCGGTATAGACAAAACTACTGATCTGATCCTGGGACACTTCTGATTCCCCGGTCTTAGACAGTTTGTCGCGAAATACGTCACGCACTGCGTAGTGTGCATCGCGCATAAGCAAGTTCCTCGCGCACCCTTGCAACCAATATCTTCTTGGGAAAAGGCTCCGGTACCATTCGAAACAATACACGTGGATGTACTCGGACCACTGAGGGAAAGTGATGGCCATAAACATGTGCTTATCATAATTGACGCGTATACTAAGTACTGTTTGCTCTATGCCTTACCAAGGCAAGATTGTAGCGAGTTAAAGTGCGTAATGACCCAAATCATTTCTCTGTTCGGTACTTTTAAAAGACTAGTGTGTGATAGAAGTCGTATGTTCGATAACCATGAGTTTATTAATTGGATTTCTAATTATGGAGTTGAAGTGCATTTCATTACTCCCGAAATGCATCAAGAAAATGGACAAGTGGAACGCTATTGCCGTACAGTGTTAAACATGATTATAGTTGAAGTAAATTATAATGAAAATGATTGGTCGAAGATATTATGGAAACTGCAATTAGTTTTAAACGTCACTAAACATAGGACAACTCAATATTCAGCACTAAATCTTCTTATTGGCACTAATTCCACTACACCTCTAATAAACGCCTTAATCAAAGATATAACTTGTGAAGGTTCAAATCCAAATCGTGGTGCAATTCGCGAGATTAGACGGCAACGTGCAGAAGGACTTATTCGCGAAAACAAAGAGAAACAAGACTCTTATGTTAACAAAAATAGGAAATCGCCTAAAAAGTTTGAAGTAATAATTGTTAAGGTCAGTATTTTGCACCACATAAAATTATATTATAAAAAAAGGAATAAATATTTTTATAAAAACTCCTATACAATTATTTATCCAATAGAAACTAAACTACTGACATTTTATATAGGGCAATAACATGTTGTGCGCCATTGGGCGCTATTCACACGTCCCGTTGTTTAAAACTGAAACAAAACAGTTCATTTTTTATCAATATCTTTTCAAACTTTTTATTTTTATAGACGATGCACCTACGCAACTACCCATGCGCTACGCTTTTCAGTTTCCCATCTAAATTCTCATTAGCAGAAACAATAAAATAGATATATTTCAACAGTATTATATTGCAATATCTTAACTTATATTTTTATCAGCATGTGAAAGTCCACTGATGGTCATGCTGGTCTTTATCTTTGTAGGTAACTACTATCATTTAAGCCTAGATGAAAAGTCAACTGCTGAACATAGGCCTCTCCGTAGATTTCCTTGTGTCAGGCGGGTTGACAACCACAGTTTTTTTTTATTATTTTAAGTTCCTATCAAGCAGATGCTGCAGTCTATCATCTCCTGTTTCATCATAGGCATCTCCTGTTTTAGTTTCCCTCTGTCACCACTTATGATACCCACTGGAAGATATGGGACAGTGGATTTTCTTACGCCGCCTACACGCCACGTCACTGATAACTACTTCCAAAATAGATTTTATTTCACAAGTTGTTTTTAAACCGAAGTTATGTTAACCTACATTTATTACCTATAATATAGATTTAGTTTAATTTTTTTAATTTAAAAATATTTATTATTTTACGATTGGAATCAATAAGAACATCTTGTTATTTATAGGTGAAAATATACCCCACCCACTACGAGATGTTATTGACGATGGATTCGCTTATGCCACCATCAATATTGAAATCATCATAACTTTAAATTTTTCCTTATGATTTCAAACAAATCGATAGTTTTTATTGGCGAGTGTGTGGAATTTATTCAATTAGCTTGTTTTGAATGAGAGTGGAGCACTTTATTCGATGGTTGTTCACTAGCCCAATTCAAGCATCGGGTTCGCCTGATTAAAAACATCGTTGAGATTAAAGTGTGAATAAAATATTGCCTTCTATATAAAATAATGCGTTATTCGATCGTAAATTTCGCTATTTTTACTTGTATACACTTGCTATTTATTAGGCTATAGTTTTGTATCCATAAAATTACAAAGTTGGTATATACATAAGTTTAACAATGCTGTAGTTAGTTTAGTAAATGCCAACCTGTTCTTGCACTCGGTGCTACATGCTTAATAACGAACAAGACTATCATAACTTTCTTTTTTTTACAGGAGAGGGGTCAAACGAGCATGCGGCTCACCTGATGGTAAGAGACTACCGCCGCCACCAGCTGCAACACCAGGGAGGGAATCGCAGATGCGTTGCCGGCCTTTTAAAAAGGAGTACGCTCTTTTCTTGAAGGTCCCTAAGTCGTTTCGGTCCGGAAAAATCGCTGATGGTAATCGATTCCACAAGGAAGTCGTGCTAGGAAGAAAACATCTTCTAAATCGCACAGTGGTAGACCGCCAATCATCCAGATAGTGTGGATGGTATCGGATGGATTTAAACAATTATTACTCTTGTTCGCTTTATATTTCATCCATAACAACCTATAAAAGTTAATTACTAAACAAAGCCTGCCTCATAGATTGCCTCATAGAGGGAACTGTGCCCTAATTGCCACACATAACAGGCAGGTTGGCAACTGCAATTATTTTATAATGTTGAGTTGTCATCGGGAAGATACTGCTTTCCATCTCCTATTTCACTTTTTTTCTGTCACCTTTTGCGACAGCTAAAGCACGATTTGGGGCATTGGATCTTCTTACACTACCATTCTACGGTTAAGCCTTACGTAGTATTTGTTACAAGTCAGCAATTTTAAAAAGGAGTACGCTCTTTTCTTGAAGGTCCCTAAGTCGTATCGGTCCGGAAAAATCGCTGATGGTAATCGATTCCACAAGGAAGTCGTGCGAGGAAGAAAACATCTTCTAAATTGCACAGTGGTAGACCGCCAATCATCCAGATAGTGTGGATGGTATCGGATGGATTTAAACAATTATTAGTCTTGTTCGTTTTATATTTCATCCATAACAACCAATAAAAGTTTATTGCTAAACAAAGCCTGCCTCATAGATTACCTCATAGAGGGAACTGAGCTGTAATTGCCACACATAACAGGCAGGTTGGCAACTGCAATTATTGTATAATTTTGAGTTGTCATCAGGAAGGTACTGCTTTCCACCTCCTGTTTCACTTTCTTTGTCACCTTTTGCGACACCTAAAGCACGATTTGGGGTATTGGTTATTCTTACACCACCATTCTACGGTTAAGTCTTACGTAGTATTTATTACAAGTCTGCAATTTTACATTTTTAGTTCTTTTTAATAAACAACAATTTGATGTGATGTAAAACTTGTAAAACTTTCAAAGAACTTAACAATTTTTTTTTCAATTATTTAAAGCTATAGTTATAATATAAGAAATTGCTATGGAGCTTTGCACCCGTTCAAATCTCAACTCTTCTCCACCCGAACGTCGTATGTAGCGAACTTGGCCCTTTTTCGTATTAATGTTTTTTTGGTATTTCTAATTTTCTTATTCAATTTAAGACAGATAGTTTTACATGTACCAGATGGTGTGCCATCTAGTAACGGTTTAAGAATTATGACTATCCCATATCGTCCCCTGTCTGTTGTAAGAGGCAACAGATGAATGCTCAAACTGGAGATGAGCAGCATCATCTTCTTGAGAACAACTCAAAAAATTAAGTTTGCTCTTCTTAGAAAGCAATTTATTGGACAGAGCTATGTTCAGTAGTTGATTTTTATAGGTTATAATAGATTGCATTAAATGTTAAAATTTTAAGTTACATCCTATATACGTCCCACTACTGGGCACAGGCCTCCCCTCATTTCTGAGAGGGTTTTGGGACGAGGAAATGTCCGCCACGCTGCCACAATGCGTGTTGGCGAACTTGACATGCCTTCGAATTTTTTTCTTATTTCTCAGACATGCAGGTTTCCTCACGATGTTTTCGTTCACCGCTGAGCACGTTGTAAATCAGCACTTAAAATTGCAATTAACAATTTTATTGGTGCCGGCGGGGATCGAACCCGGGTTGCTCGCGTACTGTGAAATTTAGAGGCATTAAATGTAAATAATAAAAAATCTTCCTTGCATAAGCACACTTTTCTACACATCTCTAGTAGTTATATAAATGGCAGTATTTGCACGTGGTTAACAAGACCATTCATAATCTACTGTTAATTTAAACGGTTCAGGAAATTAATACTGAGTTATTTAGTGACAAGTTTCAAGTTGCCTATGAATAATTGTGTATGTACCAAAACATCATTTTGCTCTGTGACGCACCAGATGAATTTCGTGTAATATATTGTGTGGTTACGTAACTATTTATCGCCAACAGTACAATGTTTCAATAATTACAAGTAATATTACTTTTAATGTTACTTGCTTGTTATAACAATTTAAAAAATGTGTCACACTATGTCTTGCTCAATATTTACAAGAGGCTTTTGGTCAGAAGTCGCACATGAGCCTTCACCACTGAAATGACGCATTTAGTTCCTAAAGGTCAGGTTACCACGGACCCAAGCAAATCCGATATATTACGTATCTGCACAACTATGAAACGTGACCAGCGTGACCCTGTATTAGCGGTGTGAAAATATCAACTACCAAATATCGTTAGTGTCGTAAGAGATGACAGAGGGAAATAAACAAGATGATCGATAGCAGCGTCTTCCTAATAATTACTAAAAAAAACTGCAGTTGCCAACCCGTTCACCGAGTGTGGCAACTATGGTAAATATCCTTCTTATGAGGAAAACTATGGATGAGACTTGTGTTAAGCTGTGGACTTTTAATAGGATGTAAAGATAACGATCAGTATACAAAAGACACACCCTTTTTGAATGTAAAAAATATCTTATACCTCAACTTCAATTGAATTAATTCACGGGCTCGGAATGTGTGACTGACTAGCAGTTGTTGGACTATGGGATCTTACTTTTTTAACACAGTCATTGGCAACTTGTTCAAACGCAGGCGTCTCAATGTCTCAGTCTTCCTGAAGTTTATCAAAACTTCAGGAAGACTTGATTTGACTCCGTTTCTCATACGTGGCTATGGAAAACCTTCGTTATATACAAACTTGACTGTACAGTATG